AAGGAGCTCAGGTAGAGAGCAGAAATGAGGCACGCTGCGCTCTGGGAAAAACTGGCAGAACAGGTCTTCAGACAGTTAGATATTTTCAGGAGCCCATTTTATGAGCCCAATTCTTGTATCTCCTCATATCTAGAAAAGCACTAAAATCCTTCATGGTGACTGACGTCTGCTCTTCTTGGCTAGCAGCAACCTTCTGTAAAAAATATGTGCTTGATTGCATGTACTCCCCCTTCACCAAAATCACATATATACTGATCTTCCCCCCTGCCTCTTTAGAGCAGTTTCTCAGAGCTATCTGGGATGCTGTCTCCCGGGCTGCCGTCCTCATTTTGCCTCCAATAAAACTTAACTTGCTCCTCTCATGTTGTGCATTTTTTTTAATTCGACAAGGGGAAATTCAGCTCTTAATGGGATGAATAGAGTCCAATTAGTTAATGAACCCACAGGATAATATTACCTATCGTTAGAATGAGACAGAGTTCAGCATCAATTATTTTCCTTTTTTTTGTTTGTTTGTTTTTGTTTTGTTCATAACAAGTAAGCACTGAAAACCCTTGTTTCCATAAATAAACAATTGGCTTTGTTACAGCAGAGTCACTAAATCTTTTATCTTTTTCCAAAATTTTTTCGGCCAAAAAAACCCCAATCACCCCACAATAGTGACCCATGATCAGAAGGTAATTTTAATGATCTATTAGTTGCTTTGTTATTTTGCAACTAACAAAGTACCACAAACTAAGTAGCTTAAACCACAGGAACGTGTTGTCTCACAGTTCTGGAAGCTAGAAATTCGGGATCAAGGTGTTGACTGCGTTAGTTCCTTCTGAGGGCTGAAAGGAAGATGTGTTCCATGCCTCTCTCATAGCTTCTAGCAGGTTGCTGGCTGTCTTTGGTGTTCCTTGTATTGTAGAAGCATCACCCCTATCTCTGTCTTTATTTTTGTTGCAGCAAAAATAGAGATGAAGTTTTCCTTCTCCTGAGAGCAAGGAAAACAAAGGGAACAGTGAACAGGCCAGAGAAGAAACATAACCTGGCCTGAAAGAGTTAATCACCCCTTTGTTTTATTTTAACTGTTACTAATCTGTAGTGTCTGTAACTAGATTTGTTCTTCACAAAGCTAACCTTACTCTCTGACACTATGTAAATTACATTCTGCACCTGTCGCCCCGACTCTGTGTGAGTTACATCCTGTGCCTATCACTACATCCCCTGTGCCCCCTGGTAACAAATCACTCCCTGTAGCGTCTGCATTTCTAAAGAAGATCGCCGGCGGATAAACCAGAGACAAACGGTCCCAATTACCAGAATGCTGGACCCCAATTACCAGGCTGCCTGACGCCAGCTATGACTGTTTTGAAATAATGCAAAGGAAAAATAATGCAAGACCTTCACTATTTTGATCCTTACCACATACCCCGCCTGTGAGCCCCACGTATAAAATCTTCTCCAATTCCCCAAGGAGAGGGTGGGGGCACAGTTCTTGAGGCACTAGCCTACTGTGTCTTCCCTTTGCCTGGCAGAGAAAAATAAAGCCATCTCTCTCATCCTCCAAAATCTCTGTCTCGGTACTTCTGTTCGGCATCGGTGCACAGAGAAGCTGAGATCTGGCAACATTTCCACTTGATGTTCTCCCTGGCTATGTGTCTGTAACCAACTTTCCCCTTTTTTAAGGACACCAATTATATTGGATTAGGACCCACCCTGATGACCTCATATTAACTCGTTTACCTCTGTAAAAACCTTATCCCCAAATAAGGTCACATTCAGAGATACTGGGGATTAGGACTTCAGCATATGTAAATTTTTTTATTTCGGGGGGTGGTGGGGAGACTCATTTCAATCTCTAACAGTTGCCAGCTCTAGTAGGTCTTCTTCCAATTATGTTGGAAGGAAAGACTCAGGAAGCACTGACCTGCGTGTGGATTGGTCATGATCTTTAGAGTTATTCACTTCTCAGTTTCTGGAATCCACCGAAATAGGCTTTATACTACAGCCTATCAAGTAGCTATCAACTGCATTGTTCCTCTCTCACCAAAAGCATTTGCCTACCCTGATGAACTTAGAAAGGGTTGGGGAAATAGGAATATTTTTAATTACCGTACAAATTTACCAAAACAATATTTTGATAAAATATTTTTTATCTTATCAAAGGCTTTACAGGGGCTTCTCTGGTGGCGCAGTGGTTGAGAGTCCGCCTGCCGATGCAGGGTACGCGGGTTCGTGCCCCGGTCCGGGAAGATCCCATGGCTGGGCCCGTGGGCCATGGCCGCTGAGCCTGCACGTCCGGAGCCTGTGCTCCGCAACGCGAGAGGCCACAACAGTGAGAGGCCCACGTAGAGAAAAAAAAAAGAAAAAAAAAAAAGGCTTTACACTTTGTTTTCACGACAACTTTGGAGCTAAAGTTTTCCCTCATGTGATTCACGGAAAATAAAAAGACTGCCAACTAACCTCATTGGCAAAGGCTTCAATGTCAAACCAACTAGCAAATCAGGCTTCCGTTCTGTTAAAAAAAGAAGTCTGATCCCTTTTGCAAGTCTAATGAACATGTTAATGTGCATCCCATAATAACTGTCTCGCTTCTGAATTCCAGCTCTGCAGTGGAGAGGCAGGTAGAGTGAGGAGACTTGGGAGTCCGTCCTGAGGAGCTCTGCCTCTAGTACTCTCCCGCATGCCCTGTTTCCCAGCATCTCGCGGACTCTACTCAGGAGAAATGCGTTCTTTGGCAATTCCGAAGCAGACGGATACTAAATGAAAACTATTTGGGCGTTTCTCTTTGACTGCACCACAGTAAGGTACAGGAGGGTGGGAAGTCTGCTGTTTTGTTTCAAAGCAGGAAAAGAGCAATTATGAAATGTGGGCTGGGGACGGAGAATCTGTGTGAAAACTTGACAAAGGCATTTGTTCTTGGGCAGACCTGTCTCAGGAAAAAGGAGAAACAGGCTTTTGGGATCTGGAAAACAAACCCCTTAAAATTATGTGAATCCTCTGTTGGCGGGAATGTAAATTGGTGCAGCCACTATGGAAAACAGTATGGAGGTTCCTCAAAAAACTACAAATAGAATTACCATATGATCCAGCAATCTCACTCCTGGGCATATAGCCAGACAAAACTGTAATTCAAAAAGATACACGCACCCCTATGTCCATAACAGCACTATTCACAATAGCCAAAACATGGAAACAACCTAAATGTCCATCGACAGATGAATCGATACAGAAGATGTGGTATATATACATATATACAATGGAATACTACTCAGCCATAAAAAGGAATGAAATAATGCAGCAACGTATATGCAACTTGAGATTATCATACTAAATGAAGTAAGTCAGAAAGAGAAAGACAAATACCATATGATATCACTTATATGTGGAATCTAAAATATGACACAAAGGAACTTATCTATGAAACAGAAACAAACTCACAGACATAGAAAACAGACTTTTGATTGCCAAGGGGGAAGGCGTGTGGGGGAGGGATGGATTGGGAGTTTGGGATTAACAGATGCGAACTCTCACATATAGAATGGATAAACAACAAGGTCCTGCTGTATAGCACATGGAACAATATTCAATATCCTGTGATAAACCAAAATGGAAAAGAATATGAAAAAGAATGTATGTCTATGTACAACTGAATCACTTTGCTGTACAGCAGAAATTAACACATTATAAATCAACTATACTTCAATGGAATAAATTTTTTAAAAGTTATGTGTATCCTTAAGGACAGTCTTTACATCCCCCCAGAGGTATAAAGACCCTGATTGAGAACTACTGAACTGTGGTATATTCACCAGATAATACTACTATACAGCATTTAAGTTAAATGAACTCAATTTATGTCTCAGCATAACTCAAACTCAAAGACATTCAATATGATAATATTTCTGTATATTGAAACAATCTCAAAAACTATATACAGCTAATACATATATATATATATATATATATATATACACAGTAAAGGTATTAAAACAGAGAGGGGCAAGTTGAAAGTAATAGGATGGAAAAAGATATCGTTCAAACAGAAAACATAAGAGAGCTAGAGTGGCCATATGAATATCAAACTAGACTTCAAAACAAGGTATCACCAGAGATAAAGAGGGACAATTTGTAATGATAAAAGGGTCAATCTGTTAAGAAAACAGAACAATCTTAAATGTGTATGTATCCAACAACAGAGCTTCAAAATATACAGGCAAAAAGTGGACAGAGTTAAAGGGAGAAATAGACAAATCCAGGATCATAGTTGGAAATGTAACATCCTTCTTTCACAACCGAGAGACAAAAACCCAATTTTTGCTTCTGGGGAGGAGGCAAGTTATTTGAGGATGCTGCAATTGTATCTGTAACGTTTATCTGAAGCAAATATGACAAAATGCTAACACATTCGTTTTGAGGGGTGTTTTCCAAGGAGCATATGAGTGTTTTATATTATTTGCTCTATTTTTTCGGTGTCCAAATACTTTTGTAACTTAAAAAAAAAAAAGTGAATGGAAGAAACATTTAAGTGAATGAACAATAAATGAGGTGCAGACATCAATGTCACCTCATCCAACATTACTCCAACTCCCTACCCTCCCCAGCCTACCCCCCCTCCCCCGCCTCCCTCCCTACCTGTGAGTCTTCCTCTGATAAGCATGTCCTTAAGTGGACCAGGCACTGAACACAGGCTTACAATCTCTCCCTGCTACAGGCTGTATTCAAGCTGTCCCAAGCTTGAATGCCCTCCCAAAGCTCCTTTATAGCCCACACCTGCAGCAGCCACCTCTCCATAAACGCTTGCCAACTTCTCAAGCCCCATCCTGAAGTTCCTACACCACCTGAATTAATGTCAGTGTTTTCTTCTATCTCCTTAAATATGCGCCTTCCCTAAAGGTTCAATATCCTCTTCGGCTCCTCCCCTCCACTCTACCTGTCTTTGCAATCAGACCCACTCTCACAACTTAAATTATTACCCCCTTGCAGAGGCTGCCTCCCCAGCCCTGGCCCCTCACTTGAATTCAAATCCTGGCTCTCCAGTTGCATTCAGGATGCTTCTGTTTGAATGTTCTCGACATTAAAGATCTGTAGCAAGTTGACGCAACTTTACAGCAAATGTGTGTCTGCACCAAGAGAGGAGAATGACACAGCGTGAATACAAGTTGTCAACCAATATGTGGGTTTTTCCCATCACAGATCAGCTTCTTACTCTCTTCACCCCATCCAAACTGTGACTAAGCCTCCCCCAAGCATATTTTAAACATCATCTCAACTTCTTCTGGCCTCCTGGGTTGCCTTCCTCTCTTTGCTTTTGAAGTCTTGTGGTTCATCTTGATATGTTCAGAGATGGACATAGTTTTACTTATCCTATTTGGCATTCTGGGAGCACTTTTGATCTGATCACTTTTGTCTTTAATTGTGGAAAATCATAAGCAATGATCTCTTCCATTTTTCCTTCTCCATACTCCCTTTATTCTCCTCTTTCTGAAATCCCATTAAACATTTCACAGTGCTGATTCACATCTCAATAGCTTTTCAAACTGCTTCTGTCTTTATCTCCTTGCATTGCAGTCTCTGTGAATTCCTCAATGCTAGTTTCCATTTCACTAATTGTCCCTTCAACTATGTCTAATCTAGAGTGTATCCTAGTTTATATCTAATCTATATATAGATTTCATTTCCAGTGTGCTAAGTATTTATCAGTATTTTTTCAGTTGTTCTTGTTTAATTTCTGCATTTTCTACACCTTCTTGCTCTCTGTTTCAAACTCTTTTCAGATTGTTCTATAATTTGCATCTCTTCTGGAGTGAACTCCCATCCCAATTTTAGTTAAATATCTTTACATATATTTTGAATTTTGAGTGTCTACGTAATCTCATCTTGAATGGGAACTTTAAAAAATCTCTCTCTCTTTATACTGCATCCTCCTGGGTTTTTTCAGGGCCCACAGTCAGAACCAGGCCTTATTCTGATGGCTCTGGGCTCCTGTCCAGGGGTGACACTGCCACAGCTCCAGTTTCTGGCCTGCCTTCCCGACACTATAGGGGAGCAGCCCTATGTGAGCCATGACTATGGAGAAGCGCACAGCTTTCTCCAGACTTTCACCAAGAGAAATCCTGACCCAAGACAGACTCAAGAACAGATCCCAACAAGATGGCCCCAGATTTCAGCCCTGGTTCCACCCCTACATCCAGGATGACACTCACCTTGCTTTTGAATGCATCTATCTTCTCCCCTTCCTCCATCTCCTTCTTTTACCTTCAACCATACCATTACTACGCATTAAAACATTAGCACCATCTTGATTAGAAGTCAAGTGCCTCATTCTAAGCAACCTCTCTCCTAATTCTTACCTTATCTACAAACCAGCCACTTTGTAAAGCCTTTCCTGAGCACTCTTACCTGAAATGAGCAATCTCTACCTCCTCTGATCTGCTCTACACTGCATTTAGCTTTTACAAAACAAGGGTTTCTTGAAGACCAAGTGTGTGCCATGGTCTGTTAGGCACCACAATATAAACATGAACAATACAAGGTCACTTCCTCAAGACACCAAGGGTCTGGTCATCAAGCTGGATGAGCAAACAAACCATTGCTGTGCAGAATAAGTGCTTCAGTCCAGGGATGCCCGAGGTCCAGGTGACACTGAGAAACATATGGTCTGTACTGCCTGGGAGCACAGGGAGGGGGCAAGGGACTGAGTCCATGAGGAGGAGATGCTTGAACTGGGTCTTAAGGAAGAGGAGTTTACTAAGCAGAGAGCAGAGCTGAGAACAAGCCAGGCTAAAAGAATAGCATGGAGGCAATGGCACTGAGGTGGAAAGGAGCAGGGCTCCTTGGAGAAACAGAGAGGCACCAAGCCTAGGAGGTGTGAAGGAGGCAAGTGGGAGGGGACAAAGATGGGCTGCAGAGCCAAGTGTGCAGGGCCTCAGACAACATCCGGGATCCCACAGTTTTCTCCTAGGGACCGTGGGAAGCCCTTGCAGGACGGAGCACAGGGTTGGCAGGACAAGATCTTCACTGAAAGGGACCAGAAGCACTGGAAGAGACCAGAGTAGAAGTGGGGTGGCCAGTTAGGGGACCACTGCAAAAGTCCAGACAAGAGATGACAGTAGCCCTGTTGAACTTGGGAGCCTGGGGGGTGGAAAAGTGGAAATGGCAGAAGTGAGGTAGAATTAAGAGGTATTTGTGATTGAGATAAAGCAAGGCTCTGATAATTCTAGAGTTCAAAGGCCTTTCTAGGCCCAAACAAGCTAACTCTGTCCAAGGAGACGGTAACGTCTCTTGGACCGGCCAGGGGAGATAGCAGGCAACTTCCAACACCGTGATTCCAGGTTGGCCCTGAGTCAGCATCCTAGGAGCTGATTAATTTCCTACCACTGCCCTGCGCAGTTATGCGTTCTGAATAGTCTTTAATTAATGTAAAAAAGTATTTCCATGGCTTAAGAACATACACCTTGAGAAAAAACAAAGACCTGTTTAAATTCAGCATAGAAACGGGTTACTCTCTTTCTCTCTCTCTCTCTCTCTCTCTCTCTCTGGATATCTAAAAATAAGGAGTTTATTTGACAGAGTGCTGCAGTTCCCCTTTCTTCATCCACCCCATGTGAGTGCCACACAGTGTGGAATGTGGAAGCTTACCTGGCAGGCCCCACCCAGCCCTCTGCACACCTGGCCCTGCAGCATACAAGCATCCCCAGAACTTGCACAATTGCATCTGTTCTCCTGTTTGTTGCAGGGCGGATGTCATTGTGGTTTCATTGAGAATCTACGAGTTCTGCGAAAAATATCATTGGGGTCGCAAACCTCCTTGGTGGGTTTGACATGTTGCCCTGACATCCCCCCATCCTCTGTCACGCTCTGCACAAAAGGGGCTGCCACACACATGGCTGACACTTTTCTTAACTGCAAGGCTGGAAGACCTCCAAACCAGCTGTAGTTCACTTCCAGGAGACTGGGATAGGACAATTCTATTTTCAAGTCTTGTACCTCAGAATCTGGCCATCATCGTACTCAGGGACCTGGTTCCCAAGATCCAGATATCTGCAGGTTGACTCTGGCTCTCCTCCAATGCTTCCTGCACCAGCAAGGTGTGCCTTTGTGGCTGACCATCCTCTTCACCACCCTTCTGATTGCATCTTTTGGCCAGAAGGGCCATCTAACATTCCTGCAGTGGGAACAGAGACGAAGCAAAATGGGAAACTATCTAAAAAGAGGATTGCCTTGTCAGTGGCCTATCTGGACTTGGCTGTTCCTTTGTCACCCTCATTGATGTTAAGTTAAGGTACAGCACTGTGTCTACACAGCCAGGAACACATGCACACATATACTGATATGCCAGGGGACCCACTGCTGTGTGCCACAGTCATATTTACAGTTACAAAGGGTTTTCCTTCCCCAACCTGCCTGTCTTCCATCTGAAAATGTTACATGTGCATGAGTGACTCCTCAATGATACAGATACATTGTATCTACTACAGCCTTACTAGTAATTGCAAAAATTGAGAAACTGCTTAAATGTCTATTAATAGGAAAACTAAGTTAGGGAACACCCATATAAAATGCGCCTCTTTAGAAATATGGAGTAGATCTACAGGTGCTGACATGGAAAGCTTTCTTCTGCTGTTAGACAAGAAAGGCAAGTTGTAAAAAATATGTGCCTAGTACAACCATGTGTCAGAAATGATGTATAAACAGCTGTTTATGCATAGATTATATCTGAGGCGCACACTTAACTGTTAACAGTGGTTTTCTCTGGAGAATGGATGATGGTGAGGAGAGCTGAGACAGGGAAATTTCCCCATACTCTTTTTTGTATTGTCTGAAGTTTTTCAAGAATATATAACTTTTGTAATTTAAAAGACACTTTTAAAAACATGTCTAAATATAAATGGTCCACGTTAGAGTAAGCACCTTGGATGCTTTGGGCGGAGGGCGGGGGGGAGAGGGTTGAAATCAAAGTAAAAAAAAAAAAAAGCCCACCCAACACCTAAGTTCAGACCGCACGAGGGGAGTACAGTTCTGCAAACACAGCTCAGCCCAAGCTGTGATGTGACATGCGACCTCGCGGTGGGGGGGAGGTGTTGTGGGGGTGGGCGGGGGTGTGTGTCTGGAACATAGTTCTCGCCACTGCCGCGGGGCAGAACTCACAGGTGGGGCAGACACCTGGAACAGATAATGCCAGGTGGCTTGTCTCTAGAATCAGGCAGCAGCAGCATGAAGGGCACCCACTATGGGATGCAAAGTGGGAAGACCCTGAAGAAATGAGAGAGGGCACCCACTATGGGGCGGAAGGTTTCCGGACAGCAGCGGACAAAAAAGCGGCCAAGTGTGTGTCAGGTTCAGACAGGGAGAACAGTCTCCACCCAAGCATTCACCCAGGCTGCACACTTGTCCCCACCAAGCACCCATAGCCAGAGGTACAGAGGAGTGAGGTCCAAGTCCCCTAGCACGGGAGCTGGGCCCGGGGCAGAAACAGAACAGCATTCTAGGCATAGGGAACAGCAAAGGCAAGAGGAGCCCACAGTTTAGATAATCTCAAGCCCTGTGGGAATGCAGTGGTAGGTGGATGGGAAAGACCAGAGCAGAGGCTTGGGAGGAGCCAGCACCCAAAGGCTAGGAGCCAAGCCAGGGCTGAGCTGCCACGCAGTCCTGCAGGTCATGGAAGGTTGCGGGAGTGACACCATCAGATCGCCTTTCGGAGAATAATGCTCACAGCAGGGTGCCTGGGGGACTGGCCAGGAGAGGGGCTGATGTGGAGTCTGCTGAGTGGACGCCGGAAGGAATGAGGCTGTGTGGCCAGGTTCAGCTGCTGGGGAAAGCCTGAAGGGTATGGTCAGCAGAGGTCACACAAGGCTTGAGTGGCTGCTGCCCCTTGGAGTTCCGGAGGAGTGGGCCAGTCACGAACTTCTCTTCAGCCCTCAGGGCCCATTTTACGGCCCCAAAGCCCCAAGGTGCCGGTGCTAGGGCCACTTTAAGTGAGGGCAAAGGAAGTGGACACTTCTCTCTCCTTCCTGCTCACTCACCCTCCCTTCTTGAAATCTCTCATCTCTATCCTCCGCCGCTGTCACACCCACAGGAGAGCCATTCCAAGGGCCACTTCCAAGCCCTTTTCCTTGTCCTCAAACCCGTGGTTCTCAACCATTCCCAGCTTCCCGTCAAGGCTGCCTCGACGGCCCCCATTCACGGCCCCCAGCCCCCTCTCTGGGCTGGAAGGTGACAACCGCGAAAAGGAGGGCGACTCTCTCCTCCGCGGGGCTTCACGTGACATCACATCCTCCGAACGCGAAATCGGCTCCGCGGCCGGCCGAAGGGCGCAACTTCCCCGGTCGGCGTCCCACTGGCTCCTGCGCTCCTCCGCAGCTTCGAGCCGCTAGCGGAGCGGCGCCGCGGGGAGCGCGCCATGGCCTCGCCGGTGACCGCCCTGCTCCTGCCGCTGGCCCTGCTGCTCCGTGAGTTGGCGACCCCTGGGGAAGACGGGGCCGGGGCTGGCGGGGGGTGCGGGGCTCCCGGCTCAGCCTCACTACCTGTGCCCCGCAGATGCCGCCACCGTCCTCGAGTCATTCTCGTTCCGGATGTCGCCGGTGCAGGTGCAGGCTCGCCTGGGCGAGAAGGTGAAGCTGCACTGCGAGGTGCTGCAGTCCAGCATGACGTCGAGCTGCTCCTGGCTCTACCAGAAGCCCGGGGCCGCCTCCAGACCCATCTTCCTAATGTACCTCTCCAGCACGCGGTCCAAGCTGGCCGAGGGGCTGGACACCAATTACATCTCCGGCACCAAGGCCGAGGGCGCCAACTTCCACCTCACTCTGCACCGCTTCCACGAGGATGACCAAGGCTACTATTTTTGCTCGTTCATGAGCAACTCGGTTATGTACTTCAGCAATTTCGTGCCTGTCTTCTTGCCAGGTCCGGGCGCCAGGGGCGTGGCACCCCTCGGTGTGGGGTTTGGGGCTCAGTCTGAGTCCATTTTTCACACGCTTCGAGCCTCTTAGCGCCCCTCGGGGCTACTTAGATACTGTTCCCATTTCACAGATGAGGAAACTGAGGCTAGGGCTAGAGTGCGACTGGATAGGAACTGAAGATGGTTTTTTAGGTCCTGTTGATCTGGGCTCGAGTTCCGGGCTTGTGTGATCCTGGGCAAGTTGTACTTAAATTCTCTGAGCCTCCCTTTGCTGGTCATTAAAATGCGGGTATCACCTCCAAGCCCACGAGGTTTCTGGTGGGGCCCTGGAGAGAGGCTGGGCGGAGGGGAACGGGCCCTGCATTCACGTCCGAGGCGCCGGGTACGGTTCGCGGACCAGGAGGTCCCACCCCATCTCCCCTGCCCTGAGCGCAGAGCTCCGCGAGGGCGGCGGTCTACGGCTCCTCCAGCGGAAAATCGGGAGGAGGCGCCCACTTGGCCAAGGCGCGCGGAGTGGTGGGGAGGGTTCGTGTGCACAGCTCCAGCCCGGCCCCTAACCACTCTCTTGCTCCCGCAGCGAAGCCCACCACGACGCCGGCGACGCCACCAGCCACGCGGGCGCCCACCAAAGCGTTGCAGACTGTGTCTCCGCGCCCAGAGGTGTGCCGGCCCTCGGCGGGCAGCGCAGGTGAGGCGGGCGCGGGGAGAGCCCTCGCCAGGGGCAGCCCTGATCCTGAAGGTGGAGCCGAGGGCAGCCCGAGTGGTGGGGAAACCGAGAGACGGAGCCGGGAGAAGGAAGTGCCCCGGCCGGCTGGGTGGGATGAGGGATCCCGGGCCCGCTCCTAAATGTCGGCGTCTTCTGTGTCGTCAGTAGACACAAGGGGCCTGGATTTCTCCTGCGATATCTACATCTGGGCTCCCCTGGCCGGGACCTGCGCCATCCTTCTCCTGTTATTGGTCATCACGGTCATCTGCCACCGTCGTAAGTCCTAGGGAATCGCGGCGGGGAGAGTCAGCCCGACTCCCGCCCTTTGCGCGGCTTCGCTCTAGGCAGCCCTTGCCGGGAGTCGAGGTTGCAATTCCTGGGACTCCGAGCTGCTCCGCAGGGCCAGGCGCAGCCTTTGTCTTTCCTGGAGAGAGAACGCGGGAAGACCCCTTCGCGCTGCTCTTTCCACTCTCCCGGAGGTTTTTAGGAAGACAGTGTCCCGGAGCGGCAGCAGCAGGGGTGGGATGTTCCATGGGCAAAGCCTGTAGCAAGCGCACAGGTCTGGGCTTATTACAAACGCCTGGGACAGGGGGCGGTGGGGGGGGGGGGGGGGGGGGGGGGGGGGCTCTGTGGCCCTGGGACTTGTGCCCGGTAGGGCTGGGTCAGAACCACGACAGGCAGTGGTTTATCCTTGGTCCCCCTGCTTGCGAGCCCCCCACCCCGTCTTGGATCCCACGCAGGTGATTGTACTAACCCACGTTCACCCACATCTGTATTTACAATGTTTTTTATCTAACATCTTTATTGGAGTATAATTGCTTTACAATGGTGTGTTAGTTTCTGCTGTATAACAAAGTGAATCAGCTATACATATACGTGTATCCCCATACCTCCTCCCTCTTGCGTCTCCCTCCCACCCTCCCTATCCCACCCCTCTAGGTGGTCACAAAGCACCGAGCTGATCTCCCTGAGCTATGCAGCTGCTTCCCACTAGCTATCTATCTTACATTTGGTAGTGTATATATGTAATGTTTTTTAAATTGATACAAAGAGGGATAGGAAAGAAGCCCTCACCTGGACTCTCAAGAGTTATAATCTTACTTACTGTATAGCACAGGGAACTATGTTCAATATTTTGTAATAACCTATAATGGAAAAGAATCTGAAAAAATATATACGTATTATTTGTATAACTGAATCACTTTGCCGTACAGATGAAACTGACACAATATTGTAAACCGACTACAATTAAAAAAATTTTTAATAATAACTATTAAAACCATAAAATATAAATATTATATCATGCTTGCTTTACAGTTTATTTCTTTATAGTATAAATTAATCTTCACAGTGTCAATCATCATTATGCACTAATGTCATTTTACAAGTTTATGTCTTTTTTTATAATGTCGATGTAGTTATTGTTTGCTTTACATAAAATAGTCATAGCCACACTAGAAAAAAAAAAGTTATAATCCTAAATAAATAGGAAAAGTGAAGGAGAAACCATATTTGGGAACTATTCGTCGTGATGGGGCAGACATTTTATCCCTTCTTTTTCCTTATCCAGGGAACCGAAGACGCGTCTGCAAATGTCCCAGGTGAGTCTCTTATAACCTCTGGGCCTGCTAACCCCAGGCAGCCCTGGACACAGGTCCTGGCTTCCCAAGCAGCAGATGGTGGGAACCTTTCCCAGAGAGAGGCCATGGCAGTGGAGTCCTGGGGGCCAGGGGGTCAGCATAGAGCCTGAACAAAGAGAGGCAGAAGCCTGACACTGGGGAGAAAATGGAGGCCCAGGTCGGGCTTAGCGGGAGAGAAGTATGACTTCAGGAAATGTCTGTCTTATTTGGCCTAGTATCAAAACGCCCATCTGAAGGATTCCCCCAATTAATCCTAGCTCCTCCAAAGACCTGAGGTCAATTTATCTGGATGATTCCAGCTGGGTCTTGTATTTTTCTTAAGAAAACTTATTTTTTCCTATTGGCTTGGCCTAGGCTTTTTTGAGAGACAGCCAATTTTATCACCTGAACCAAATAAAGAACGGCCTCAGTTCCTAATTTCCCTGTGGCAATTCGGGGCCTTGATTTGCTGCCAAGGACTGCAGCGGGAAGAAAGGAGGACCAGGGGTAGGGGCAATTAGCTATCTGGCGGTCCGACTCCCTCATCCAGTTCCAGCCCATGATCATTCTGAAGCGATTAGGAAAAAACAAAAACGAAAAACAGCGTCTGGAAGAGAGGCCTCAGTCTCCTCCCTCCTTCGAGCTTCGGCCACGCAGCGCTGTGCAAACATCTAGCAAGCGCCCACTCTAGCCCAGCTCTGTGGTGGGAGTTATACCCAGGGTCTTCCTCATGCTCACAGCAACCCCACGGGGGAAACGCCGCGGTGCCATCTCACAGATCACTGGCTCAGAGATCAGGAAACCTACCCAAGGTGGCAGAGTTATGCTTACACTCCAATTATCAATAATATTGAATAATAACAACCATTCGATGAAAGCCTAAAGTGTACCAGGGCCACATACCACTGGTACACTTTATATATATATATATTAAAAGTTTCAAGTTTCATAACAACCTTTAAAATAGTTACTGTGACCACCATTTTACAGACGAGGAGGCTGAGGCTTCGGACATTTAGTGACTTGTCCAAGGCCATACTGCTAGCAAGTAGCAGAGCTGCAACTGCTATTCAAAGCCCAGGCTCCTCTCTGTGGCTGGGGGCCGAGGCAGAGGGCGTTAACGATAACCAACTATATTCACCAGTTCCTTTAGGTAGGTGAAAATGTTTCAAGTTTTATACCTGGGGTTCGCATTTCACACTCCTTGATATTTCTCTGCAGGAACCCAAGTTCACTGTCTTATACATCATTATTTTTAACAGTGGAAATGGAATGAATTTCCAATGCGTATACTAGAGGTGATATACCAAGGGGATGAAGACTCTTTAAAAGCAGAGAAGGATTTTTAGCAATTTCAATATTCAGGGTACAGTTGGGAGCTTTTGGAGGAGAATCGTCCCTTATCTCTATCTTTTCTGAAAATTCTCATTTTGAAATGAGCCACTGAGAATAAAACTCTGCCCTGAAATACAAAGCTATGCAGGTTAAAAATCTGCATAAAAATATGAGGAACTCACACACGAGTTAATAAACTCAGTGATGACCAAGGGCAGCTCAGCTTCAACACAGAGGTTTTGGAGGATGGTGTGTGTAGACATGACACTCACGATGAATCAGCCCGTTTAGAAGGTGCCAGCCCAGTACTGAATTAACACATTTTTAGTGCAGCATCAAATTTGGGTTGTCAAAGGGACTTTCAGGTAAAGTAGCTCTGCTTGGTTGACGACAGTGGTTCTTTCACATCCTCCCCTAACACTGTGATCCTCCTGAGGGCTGAGAATCAAGTCAGATGATGGCTTGGTTACCAGCCTGCTTCTCCCACCTCCATGGGGACCTTGACAAAGTCTCTGAGAAGCTGGGCTAACTGGCTTCAGATCCTGGCTCCACCACCTCCTAGTTATGTGACCTTGGGCACGTTCTCTAACATCTCATCCCCCGTGGCTACCCCTCAGGTTGCCATGAGGATTAAACAAGGTGGCACAAGGAAAGCTCTTGGCAGGGCTGCTGAGGTCATTCACCCGGTGCCATGCTGGTGCCGCAGGGACAAGTCCTCAGACCCCCATGAAGGCTGGGAGGTTGGTGAGGGGTGGGTAGACACGGGTGGATGCTGCATCGCATTGCAGGAGCTCTTGCTGCAGTGATGGTCACCTGCCTCTCTTCCAGGCCTGTGGTCAGACAGGGAGGCAAGCCCAGCCCTTCAGAGAAATGCACCTAACATGGCGACGGGCCCCGCGTGACAGCCACTACAAGACTTCAAACTGAGAACGCTCCTGACAGGGAGAGCAGGAGTCCTTCCCTTTCGGTTTCTCCAGCCTTCCTTCCTTCCATATGTATTCATTCTCATTATTATTGTTTTCCTGGGGGTGGGGTGGGAAGAGTTAACTTTTTCTTTACGTGTTTACTTTGATTGACACAAAACGAGACTCTACCATGTCTAGGGTACACCGCAAGGGTTATAATACCGTTGTGCTCCCATATTGAGGTAAAGGGGAGGTAGGCCAGAGCTACCGCAAGCTGTGTTCTCGGAACCAGGCTGTGAGGGCTGGCGGGGGCCTCGGCACCCACTCAGCCCCAACCTCTTCCCCAGCCATTTTACAAAGGAGGAAGCTGAAGCCCAGAGATGGGCAGCAGCTGTATCAGAGTCCCAGCAGGGCTCAGGGCTCGACCTCCACACAGTTCAGGTCTCTCTTCTGGAGGCCTCTGTCTCAGAATGGGGAGCTTTGTCTCAAGCCTCAAGAGAACAAGTGATTTTTTGAGCACCTCTGATAGACCCATTACTGCGCCCAGAGCCCCGAGGAGGTAATGAAATAAGACAAGAGAACTTGACAGAGTTCTATGATGTAGCTGAACAGGATCAGACCTTTTAATAATCAAGCGTGAGACAATACAGATGACAGGAATTCCTCAAATAAAGTGGAAGGGGTGAACTGAATCCTGGAAAATGAACAACTAGACCTCTGAAGAAAACCTCTGTGAAATCCCAAAGTGGAGGCAGGTTGGTTCTCCCAGCCCTTGCATTGCAGAAGGACCCATGAAAGAGGAGAGGCTGCCCTTTGCAAACAAGATTTGAGCATCAGGAAAGCTGAATGGAAGTCAGCTCTCTCTAAACTTGAGATTTTGTATTTGAACATGCTCCTGGGATCATCGGTGAGTTTTTATAGTTTGTAAAGGCAGAATGGTGACAGCAGCTGGTACAGGCCCTGGCCTCCCCCGGACCAGCAGATGTGGGAACGTAGCAGACAGACTCTGGTGAGGAAGCTAAGAGCCCAAACTGCAGCCCTACACACGCATTTCCTCTCTTACCATGTTGTAGAAGAAATGCATGCTCATTGGAAGAAAAGACTTAAATAGATAAGGTAATAAGAATCACCCATAATTCTTTACCTCAGGAATAATCCATTGTTAATATTATGGTGTACATTCTTCCTGATTATTTTCTATGCATATATATAAAATATATACTTTTTAAAAATGGGATTGCACTATGCTTTTATAAGTGGCTTTAATAAACAAACATTTATGGCAAACTCTTTTTTTATTACTTGGCTGCATCGGGTCTTAGCTGCGGCATGTGAGATCTTCGTTGCGGCATGCAGGATCTTTCGTTGCGGCGTGTGGGCTTCTCTCTAGTTGCAGCACGCGGGCTCTACAGAGCGCGGGTTCAGTAGTTGTGGTGCACAGGCTTAGCTGCCCCACGGCATGCGGGATGTTAGTTCTCCGACCAGGGATCGAACCCACATCCCCTGCATTGGAAGGCGGATTCTTAACCACTGGACCACCAGGGAAGTCCTATGGCATACTTATAATAGCAAAATCTCATTCCATTTTTGGTTGTGCCATCATTTAACTATGACTTGACATTTAATTGTTTTCAATTTTCCACTACTATAATAACAAGCACTACTAAAATGTTGCACACATCTTTAGGAGGAATACCTAAAATTATTGGGTCACTGCCCACTTTCACCTTGGACCCGCCCCCCATTTTCACATCAATTGAAATGGATTCCTCTCTTGTTGTATCATCTTCCTTCCTTTTGTGCTTTCTTGGCAGCAGATGAGCTGATACTCCTCTCATAATAAATCACAAAATCTTCATTTCTGTTGTTCAGGTAAAATATACATACTGAAAAGTGCACAAGTCATAAGCATACAGCTCCAAGTCGTTATTAAATGAACACTCGCGGGCTTCCCTGGTGGCGCAGTGGTTGAGAATCTGCCTGCTAATGCAGGGGACACGGGTTCGAGCCCTGGTCTGGGAGGATCCCACATGCCGCGGAGCAACTAAGCCCGTGCGCCACAACTACCGAGCCCTCGCGTCTGGAGCCTGTGCTCCGCAACGGGAGAGGCCGCGATAGTGAGAGGCCCGCGCACCGCAATGAAGAGTGGCCCCCGCTTGCCATAACTAGAGAAGGCCCACGCCAAGAAACAAAGACGCAACACAGCAAAAACAAACAAATTAATTAATAAACTCCTACCCCCAACTTCTTCAAAATAAAAAAATGAACACTCGCATAGCCAGTACCAGGGCAGAAATAGAACTTTCCCTGCCCGCCAGAAACTGCCTTCCACAGCCTTAACTTTTAAAAACAGTCTACTTTTTTTTTTAAATATAGAACTTGATGACAGAATTAAGGGTAATGAAATGTCAGTTTTTTTAAAGGTTTTAAAATTTATTTATTTATTTATTTATGGCTGTGTTGGGTCTTCGTTTCTGTGCGAGGGCTTTCTCTAGTTGTGGCAAGCGGGGGCCACTCTTCATTGCGGTGCGCGGGCCTCTCCCTATCGCGGCCTCTCTTGTTGCGGAGCACAGGCTCCAGACGCGCGGGCTCAGCAGTCGTGGCTCACGGGCCCAGTTGCTCCGCGGCATGTGGGATCTTCCCAGACCAGGGCTCGAACCCGTGTCCCCTGCATTGGCAGGCAGACCCTCAACCACTGCACCACCAGGGAAGCGCCAGTCTACTTTTAGAGAACAAAATTCTAGAAGAAAAAGTATCCTGAGTGTGGGAAAGCAGAAATGAAAGCTGAGAAAGTTCCTTTGAGACAAAATCTGGTTCTTGACCCCTCCTCCTGAACATATCAAGCTAACCAGACCAGGGTTGTGGGGGGGCACCCCAGGGACTGAGGCCCAGCTTGGAGCGGGTGCCAGGCTCTGGGCCGTCTCTGGGTTCCCTGAAAGAGGTGAGGAGAGAAGCATCCCACAAAGGGCACTCCTCTCCTCATGGCAGAAACTTGTAAGGATGGCTGTCCTCATGTGACTAACTTGAGAGGATGGCCGAGGAGTACCAATGTCAGAGAATCTGAGCCAGGGCAAAGGGACAGGAAAAGAGCATTTCCTCTCCAACCTGCAGCTCAGGTGTACGGGGAGCCATACTAGGGAGGCCCCAGAGAGGGTTAAATATAATACTTACTGATTTTTTTTTTCATACCCCCTACAAAAGGGTTTCACTTACCACAAACAATATGGTAAACAACATTTTGGAGATTAAAAACATCAACATAGGAAAAAGCATTCATTAGAGTTGGCCCTCGAGACCAGGAAGAAAATAGAATGCCAGTCTGCAGACCACGAGGCCTAAAGCATGCTAGGGGTGGGCTGCGAATCTAGGCTCGGGGCTCTCCGGAGACCACAGACATCCAGCCTGCTTGTCCTACACCTGCAGTTCAAAGCCGAAGGCCTCAGGTCCAACAGTCGTATTTTGCTTGCCAATCTCTAGCCTGAAGCTCTGGGTTTACAAATTCTCCTATGTGAAAGATGCCCACAACACATTTTTGGACCCTGAAAAACAGGAACTAGAGAAATGACTTCTGTACTAGGCAGTACACTTGTTTATCAGCTGGCCAGAGTCCAGCCCCAGTGTGGTTCATTAAACAAACATGCGTTCTCTTAACAAAATGTATCCTATCTGTGGAAGAAAAAAACAGAGAAATTGGTCGTTTCTTTCTCCAGCTTTTAAACTGTTTTTAAGAGAGCCCACCATACGCTTGGAAATCCCCCATGACTCTTCAACAACAAGTGGCTCAGGGAAAGGCTCTCTCTTTTTTTTTTTTTTAACCAGCAAGAAGCTGCCCCTCCCTTCTGCCCTGGGCCTGTATACAAATCCTTCCTGCACACGATTTTACAACAGGTAGGGACAGGCACCTCTTAACCTGCTCCGAAAAGCAGGTTTGAGCAGTGCCTCTCCACCAAAGGGAGCTGCAGGAGGCCATGATAACCTGAGATTAGGTTACATGTAGAGGCTCTGAAAGCAGCTTCCTGGCTCTGCTACTTATTAACTGTGTGTTCTCCAGCAAATGACAACGTCTCAATACCTCATTTTCCCCACTTGTAAAACGAGGGTGACAATAGTCCCTATCTCAAAAGGTTCTTGGCAAGAACACACGTTTATATGTATTTTCCAAGTGCCTAGAACAGGTCCTGGAACATAGTAACAAATGTATACTGACAAAATGAACTTGTACTGAATTTCTCAAAACTACTGTCGTACCAATTACACTCTGAATGCAGCCACTCGTGTCTGATTCTTCCAATTTCTATTGCAAAAAGGGGTACACAATAGTCATTCCTGATGGATCCATGCGCTAGTATACCCAGGGATCTCCACCCCTGTGTGCGGAAGACAGCCCTTCATACAAATCTCACAAGAGCTCAGTCCCAGATGGACGCGGCCTCTGCACGGTGTGATGTGAAGCTCCCTTCAGCCTGGCATCCTGAGTGCCACCACCCTCCCTGTGCTGGTGGGGGCTGTGCCTGTCCACTGCACAGGAGAGTCTTACCATCCTTAGAACAGTTGGCTGAGGCCAGCAGAGTGCGAAAAGGATATGCCCGACCGTTGGTCATCTCAGCATCTACTGAAGGCCCCATCCCTGCAGGCCTATCTCACCTTCGCATGCCAGTTACAAATTCCCCTTTTCTGCTCTCTCTGAGCTGGCTGTGACCCGCATGTGTCATCAGTCTTATGTTTCATTGACTTAACGAAATAATAGCTACCGGTTACTCAGCACTCACCATGGGCCAGGTATCTCATTTAAGGCCTCATCAAAGCCATGAGGTAGGAACTTTTATTCTACTTTACAGGTGAGTAAACTAAGGCATAGATAGGAAGCTTCTATCACTTGCCCAAGATTCTACAACTAGAATCTGGTGGGATTGGGATTTGAACTCAGGTCTAATCCCCTAGCCCAAACTCTTAACTGCTTTGCTAGATTGAATATTTTACAGTCTGTTTTTAATTTTAAAATTAGGCAAATACAGGCAAACCTCAGAAATGGTGCGGGTTCGGTTCTAGACCACTGCAATAAAGCAAGTATCACAATAAAGTAAATCGCTCGAATTTTCTGGTTTCCCAGTGCATATAAAAGCTATGTTTATACTATACTGTAGTCTGTTAAGTGAGTAGAACAGGGGTTCTGTCGGAAGTTAGGGCGAGGTTGCTGCTTCTGAATACCACCAGGGGCCAAGAAATGCAGCTCAAGGAGACGTACTGTCAGTGAAAAGCACTGACAGCTAACTCTTCATTTGTCCAGTATCTCAGGGCAGGTGAAAGCATTGACTACTGGCGCTGATGACTTAATTCCATTCTGTGAATCAAATTTCACCTGTTTCCTGGCTGAAATACATGGTTAAGCGTGGCAGAGACTGCAGGTTGCCTTCCTAACAACCATTCTCCCCTTCTTCCTTCCCAACAGAGCTTTCATTTTATTACAGGTGGCGATGTGCCAGGCTCAAAGACTACATTTCCCAGACTTCCTTGCAGCCAAACGTGGCTAGTAAGTCACTGCGTAGAGCTCCCAGGAAAGACTTCAAAGGGGCTAACTCAGCTGGAAGCCTGTTCTTTCCCCACTCCTCTCCTCCTCCTTCCTGCCTGGAACACAGATATGATCAGAGGTGAAACTGAGGCCACACGTCAAGGCTGTGGAGCAGAATGACAGGAGCCTGGGTCCCCTGATAGCATGAAGCCACCACACATACCCCAGACTGCCTGCAGCACACACGGTGCTGATACACACTAGCACAGACACGGACCCTCAGCCCAAATTTCCAGAAGCACCTCTCAAAGCTTTCACAATGTAATAATTTCCTGTAAAATTCCTCTGTAGGGCTGACTAGCTCACTAACCTAAAATAACTAAAAGCAACAGTCTTGTGTTGCATGAAAGGAAACCTAAAATGCATTTCTAACCTGATCAAAAGGGGAAAGCTCCCGAAACAGTCTTGAACGCTAACAAATAATGTGCTTCCTTTTAAGGTACATCTTTGCTTCAGAGGGGAAAGGACACCAAAGACCTTCATTTGGAGGGCAGCACTTGCTCTGTGGCTGAATGCAGGCTTCAAACGGAGTAAAAAGACCAGTCCCGGGCTTCCCTGGTGGCGCAGTGGTTGAGAGTCCGCCTGCCGATGCAGGGGACACGGGTTCGTGCCCCGGTCCGGGAAGATCCCACATGCCGCGGAGCGGCTGGGCCCGTGAGCCATGGCCGCTGAGCCTGCGCGTCCGGAGCCTGTGCTCCGCAACGGGAGAGGCTACGAC